ATTTACTTTCATTATCCACATTTTCTTCACATAATCAGCTTCAAAACACAATATCATGTAATGAGGTAAATTTGGTTTGCTTTGTTGCTGAATTAAAGATGTTAGAGTAAAACAGGCCACTTTAGAAAATAAACTTACATTACCTTACTTAAGGAAAATACATTAATCCATAATGTTTGCAATATTATATGTGCAGTGTTTGCTGCAAATACAGTTGACTTACCATATGACTGAGTATATGTACTATACTGTATACTAGTTGTCTGTAGTTGACACTTTCAGCGTGAATTGTGGTGATTTTGCATTCTCTACCTATCATATGACATACTGTAATGTCAAATGCCTGTATTTGTTCTCATCCGTCTTCTGAAGCATCTCTGATCAATCTTATGGAGAGTCATTGATTTTTTTTCTCTCTCTTATTCCATATTTTCACAAACATCTCTCTCTCTCTCTCTCTCTCTCTCTCTCTCTCTCTCTCTCTCTCTCTCTCTCACACACACACACACACACACTTTGAACTTATTATCAGAGATAAATCGCTTACACTGTAACAAAAATGTATCATTAAGATATAAATTCTGAAAATTGCAATCCAGTTTTATACACTGCAAAATCTAATAGTAGTTGTAACTATCACTTTTTAGTTAACTTTACGTAATGTCTTAACTTAATTATAGTTTTAAAATTTGCATACTATTTCTTTGAAGCCAGATTTTAGCATCTTGTCTCTATTTGAACCCTTCCTTTCTGCCCCAAAAAATATAAATGCAACATAAAACCAAAAAAAAGAAATTAAATAATAAAACTAAAAACAAATAATACAATTAATAAATTTAGAATTTAGAATTAGATGATATTATGGAATTTTCACTCATTTCCTCCACGTGTGTAGTTATCTTTTTTGCCTTCGCTCATTTTACAAATACTACTTGAATGTTGAATTGTCAATACAAATAAAAATGTTGAAAGAACATCGTGAGCTGACTTTGTTAATAAATTTGTTAATTTTCCAAAATAGCTTAGTTTGAAGTCACCATTATGGTGATCAATGTCCCATTGGTGCCTGGATTCTCTTCCTATTGATGCAGCGATGCAACAAGAACAGTTATTTTTGAGGAAAAAAAAGTATGTTTTTTTTTTTTTTAAAGGTGACCTAATAACTAATCTATATAAGGAATAAATTTAAATTAAAAGTTTGATAGTAAAAGCATTATGAAATGCAGTTACTGTGAATAAAATGTTTAAATAGATGAACTGTAAAAACAATTTTTTGCATTGGAGTTTAAAATAATATATATATATATATACAGTATATATATTATTTTAAACTCCAATGCAAAAATTACACTTCTTGCAAAGCCAAAATTAGTTTTGACAAAATGATAACACATAAAACCCAACCTTATGAAAGTATTGTTTTTTCTAAATTTCCCAACAATATTATGAAATGCGGTGCTATTTGAGGATTTCGACATAAAGAACTCTGACTGCAAATGAATTGCTTTGGAGAGAAGAGCTTTATAAAGACTTCAGCTAAATTACAGCAGAAGGACACATGGGATTCTACTGCTAATTTAATGTAATATGAATTGCACAGTAGAAACAGACCATTTAAAATTAATGCAACATCTGAGAAGCGCAAAGTGGGTGTACCTCATTTGCTATATAATTGCGTGCATTTGCCTCCATAATTCCCTGAATTGGTCATGCCATTTGTGGATCCAGCTGTTTTAATCACTCTCATTTGTTTAATTTGTTTGTCATATCCCTGGTCTGCACGTCCTCTCATGCATACAAACGAGCGTTCAAAGGCAGCACTTGATTCATGCAGTGGAATGTGGACGAAATCCGGATAACTTGTTTATTTTTCAACATACCAACAGTATGTTTACATTTGCAACTGACTTGCTTGCCAGTTCACAATGCTCAGCATCATTAAATAAGCACTACTCGACTGTGTCATCCTAGTAGCAGATTCTATGTGCAGCCATGAAAAATAAAATAAAAAGACTTGTTTGTTTCATTTACTGTCATTTGTGTGTAGTTATAAAATAGTAACCTCAATATCATCAAATGACTACACACACACGGACAGTTGGATCATGAAGAGAATTTGTGCTGACATAAGATAAGATAAAAGAAATGTGCTCTCATAAAACATCTTAATGTTACCTTTGACTATGTTAACATTGTTTTTGTTTTGTTTTTTTCAAACCCATCACCGTTTATGATTTGGCCTCGCTCGAAGAGCAAACCTAACTTCCTTGACAGTCTTGAGCGGCTATGAAGGGGTGAGAGGTGATAGCCTTTAGTGATACTCAAATAAACACTCTTGAAGTATTGTTCCACACAATGGACCTTTCGGCAGCCGTACGCCCCCAACAATTTCTGCTCCAGCCGTCGCGGGCTACATGCACATCTGCAGATCTATATATCACCGTGCATTGCACACCCTAACATTCCACAGAGCGCAGCGCCGGCAGTGATTTGTGCTCTTCTCTCCTACTTTTTTTTATTATTATTATTAAATTTTCATCTGCAATCTGAATGTCGTCTTGACTAAAAGCACAGCCTTTTAAATCAATCTCGCAACCCGACCGTAAACCTGAAGTGCATTATGAGGCTTACTGATGTTACAATGGCATCCGCTCACCTTCTTTCGCTCCCTCTGCACTTGGAACGCGTGTATATTGTCGTGCGCTAACAGATGGGCAATCTTGCAGCCAGAGATGCTTAAAAGTGTTTAATAAATGTAAAACAACCTATATAGTGTTGAAGAAAGGGGCCTAAAGCAGAACCAGCTGTCTGACCGTGGCAAGAGACCTTACAGAGGATCCAGGCCCATAAAGATGATGCCTAATAAAGGCCAACACGTGGACCTTACTGATACACAATACAGGGTCCTGTTGAATATTGGACAGTTTATGGGGTACAACATCATTCCTCTGGAAAAGTGGACTGAGGCCATACGTTGCTCTTGGCTAATTTATGACTTGATGGATTTTTTTCCCCCTTTATATACTCTATCAGAGGAGAACAATAAAAGGAAGCAGGTGAGGTTGGAATGTAGAGCCTTTCATGTTTTTATCCCACTCCAGAGGCACACAGACATATTATGGTCTTAGAAGGTAATACATGAAAGTGTCTAACAAATTGTCAAATTAAGGATTGGTGTCATGACCCCTGGTGGTGTCTCTTTACAGCCGTGAGCCTCTTCCACCCCTTGAGATTCTTTAAAACTGTGCAAAATTGAGAGCTACATTTATGGAATGTAGAGGAAAAAGCTGTCTTCTTTCCTATTTATCTTTGCTTTGTCTGTTTTTGCTCCGCCAATGAAAATAGTTCTGAACGCTATAGGAGAACCAACACACAGTAGTGGTGTTTTATTATTATTACGAATGTTATTTTTTTGGCATTGATTCAGATAGGATAGTTAGAAATTGGACAAGAAGCAAATGGGAAAGGATCAAGAGCCGAGATTCAAACTAGGCTGACGATGGTGCTTTGTTCCTGAATTTTATATTATTTGAGTAAATGATTCAGTGATTCATTCATAAAGACATTGTTTTGCATTCCTGAATGAATCTGTGTTTTTTAATTGATGGGTTGAGTGAGTGAATAATTTGATGACTCATTTGTAAACAGTCACTTAGCCTATTTAGTTTCTTAATGAATCAGTGTTTTATAATGAATAAGTCATTAAATGATTCAAATGTCTGACTCAACATAAAGTCACTTGTCATCATTAACTAACCATGTAACCTGCAGAAAGAGTCCCTGAAAAAAACTCCACTACTAATTCATAGTCTGTCTGAAATGTGTAAAAATAAACAACAGGGTGATAAAAATAAGGAACGACTATGTACATTAAACATGGTTTCATTGGTCCATGAAAGGACCATATCTCCAGGGCTTGTATGTAAGGAGGTTCTTCCACTCTTCCTTAGCTGTTTCCTGGTGTTTGCAATGAAGCTTAACTGGAAATGGCACATAGAAGGGCCTCCTCAGTTTAAGCTGCATTAAATGCATTTTATATGACCTAATATTTCACCTCACCAGGTCCATTTTCATCCTGAGATACAGTCCAGATAAGAGTTATAATCTATGTGTGACAAATGTGCCAGACTCATGCCTCTGACTCTGTTATGTACACAACACTCTGCGGTTATGGCAGACTGGTGGGGATAAGGAGAGAGAAAGAGAATAAAACGAAAGAGCAGGTGTGTTTGGTTAAGATCTACCCGTCAAGTGGGTGACACACACATTTAAATGAATCTCTTATCAGTACCTCAATGTCCCCACTCAAGAAACATTGGCAGACAGTATGTTAACATGGTTGGTTTAGTTTTGTCAAGACCCCCCAATCGACATTTATTGACTTAACTGTCTACAAGACAGGACATTATAAGAATCCCAGATAGCCTGAATGGGACACAGGTGTATGATTCAAAGCGTTAATCTTGATCTTCCCTCTACAACCCCACATTAATTATCAATGTTGATTATATATACACACACATATATATATATATATATATATATATATATATATATATATATAATTTACAGTGTGGTAATTGGGACATGCTTTTAAAATGTAGCCTAATCCAGTCTTTACCATTTCACCTGTAGTAAACTATTAATCTGATTTACAGTCTATAATACACCCTACTTAACCTGCGAATTGAATTACTGATGAATGACCTATTAAATTAACAATATGCTATTAACAATAAAAACGAATGCCTTCTAATGATTATAGGCTACTGTAAACTATCTAAGGGTCACTATATAGCACGTTTATTTATCTTTATATAATTGCAATCTTTTACAAACAGCTGTTGTTTATTCCTTTTCCTCTTTTTTTTTCTTGTCAAAACTGTCAAGAAAGGGAAAAAAGAAATGCTCAAAACTCTAATAATCCTCCAAGTCATTGGAATCCCAGGAACAGCGCCAGGCGCGCGTTGATCAAATCCTGTGTTTCTACGGCAACAGAGGAGGAGTTTCCGCTTCGACCCGTGACCGCGTCAGCGGAAATGAGGAACTAGGAAGTCGAGGACAGGACTGATGTGGAATACCACACTTACATTTGTTTAAGATGAAATAGTGTCGATTAAAGCAATTTATTAATTTCCATCTACCACAGATGTAGATACTTGATGCCGGTTCGTTTAAGCAGTCCTCACACATGCAGTGGCGTCGCGAGCTGTGCTCGAAGAAAGATGCTTCAGAGGTAATTATCAGAGCTTTGTGCTGGATGAATGTTTGACAGCAGCAGTAACTGTGGCTAATGATAAAACTAGCTTTGATGCTTCAGTGGTTTTGTACCATGTTGTCTGATTGAATCAAAGGGTAGACCGCGAAGTACTTGATCAGTTTAACCAATTTAACCCATGAACACCAATTGTAAATTGAAATTTGAAGTTGTAAATTTAGATGAAAAATGTAAAATTTCAGGTCTTGATTAAAAAATAAATGAATGTGACAGAACTGAGCAGAAAGCTTATTTGAAACTGCAGTTTTTAAAAATAAACAATTTCATATAAAACAACCTATTAATCTACCACATCAATGGTGTACCATATTTCTAGAATAACTCATAGATTTATAGTTATTAGCTTTTGGAATCTTTAGTTAATAGTTATTTTAATTTGTTAATTTTATTTTTTGAATGACGTTTCCCTATACGTTTAACATTTGGTTGACAGGACATAACTATTTTGGATGCAAGTAAATTTGATTACCACAATAAATTCATGTGCACAATGTAAAAAAATGCACATGAGAATAATATAAATAAGTTTGAGATACATATAATAAAAAAAAATTAGCTTTGTTTTTTGTATTATTAAAGTCACTCGTTAACATAAAAATGTTAAATTTGGATCTTATTTGTATTGAAATATAAATTTAAGTTTAATATTTATTTTTCTGTCTTTTTGTCTTTTTAGGTGACCTGAGTTGGAGCGGGGTCAATGCGTGGAGTGTTTTGTAGACGCGTATGTTAAAAGACAGAACGTTTGTAATTATAAATTATGTTCTTCCCACGCTGTTAAACATAACTTTTAACCTTCATCACCTCGTGGTCACTCATTTACTGTGATTAGAAGCTAAACAAAATGCCAAGGCCAAATTGAAGTAGCTATTACGCTTTATCATTTCACACACCAAAAACCATAGTTTTACACTTGAAGTAATCATGTCATTGGGCGAACAGTCGCAGAAGTGGTTTCCAACTCATGTCCAAGCCACTGTTCTCCAAGCCACAGACCTGCAACCAAAGGGCAAGAATGGCACCAATGATGCCTACACCATCATCCAGCTGGGCAAAGAGAAGTACTCCACATCAGTGGCAGAGAAGACCCTCAGCCCGGTGTGGAAGGAAGAGGCTTCGTTTGAACTGCCAGGGCTGCTGATGGAGAGCAATCCAGAGGTTTATGAGCTGTGCCTCACAGTGATGCACAGGTCCCTGGTTGGATTGGATAAATTTCTGGGCCAAAAACTCATCAACTTAAATGAGATATTTGACAACAAGGAACGACGGAAAACTGAGTAAGTGAGCTAATATTTCATTCATTGTTGATGCCAGATCTTTTAATGATTTGTCAACTTTTTAATGCAAAAGCCTCATAGAACTAAACAAAAATATTTTTTCAAATGGAGCCGTTTCACATTTCCAGGTTTTTCAGAAGCGGTTGTCTTCATAGTTGGGTAAACTTTTATAGTGGTGAATGGGAGACAACAGCAAATATCATTTTTGTATTCCCATTTGCTCTAATAGCAAAAGAAAAGAAACAAAACGTTAATTTGAAGCCAATGTACATTACTGCCAATGTAATAAAACAAACTATAGCATATTTAGATTTATTTGATCACTATAGCATATATACATTAATTTTTTTAAACAATGAAAAACTACTAGATGTTGATAAAGGGGGCGCCAGCACAGTCCATGAAAAGGGTCCATAAGCAGAAGTGCGACTTAAAAGAGGAACCTGATACTAAAGCTTTGTCCTTTTTTAGTATTACAGTGAAATTAGTGACTCTGAATGGTGTTTAAACAATCCAGTTTTGCAGCTAATGTTGCAATCCCAACGTAACATTTTTTTTAATGGTACCAGTGATCGTCACTTCTGTATTTACACAATCTATGCAATTCTTTTGAAATCACTGCCATTTTAATATCAGCCTACATAGACCCTGTGTGCTTGTCTGCATTCTGAGGCCAATAATACTCAAAGAATGAAAAGAATGAAATGTTTTGAAATGACCTGGGCTATTTTTAACTCCTGTAACTTAAACTCCACGTTGCTGACATGGAACTTTAGTGTACCGGTAATGATGTCTTTGTTTTTGAAACCTGTTGTCTGAGTTTTAAATGTCTTTGGACATGCCATTACTGTACAATACCAAGGAAGGGCAACCATCTCATGTTGGCCATTTTGTTCTAGTATGCAACTCAGATAAAGGCCTTTTGACAACTTTTAACGGCAGTTTTGAGTCACAATCCCATGGCGGATTAACCAGTTAAGTGAGGATGATTATTCTGCATGCTGCTATATTTTCCTTTCTTTTTGTCAGGCAGTGGTGACTGTATTCTCTTTAAAGAAACTTAATCATTTTATGTTCCTCCTCTTGTATTTCCAGATGTGACAGGCTACTTTCTGTAAATAAATGTCAAGACTATTTCATTAGTGCGTCTTAAATATTCGGATTTCACTTTTTTAGGCATGTACAGACCAGCAATAGCTTATTTGAGTACTTGGAGAGAAACAGGTATGGCTGGTTGAATTAGAAAAACTTGAGCAGTGCTGCATACCTCACGTTACTGAATGCAGAAAATGACAGAAATTACTAAATGTAGTTTTGAAAATATTACTTTTTGCTTTTATCTACATGCAAGTAAAGTGTAAACATGTTTTGCACTGGAGATCTGTTGATGATTGTGGAATTTAAAATGATTTATTTAACTAAAGAATCTCAATAGTATAGGATTTAATTATCTACAGTTATTGGCCATAATATGAAAAATAATGTTGCATTCCATTTGTCTTTCGGAAGTGGGAAAGTCTGTGGATCAACCATAGCAAATCAGTAGTAATATAAGCTTTGTCCCAATTCAGAGTTTTCATCCTTCGAAGGATGCAGACTTCAAAGGCCATGCCTTAAATTAATAATAATAATTTGTTACATTTATATAGTGATTTTCTTTGTACTCAACATATTGAAGGGGGGATCTCCTCAACAACTACTAATGTGCAGCATCCACCTGGTTGATGCGACGGCAGCCATATTGCGCCAGAACGCCCGCCATATACCAGCTTATTGGTGGAGAGGAGACAGAGTGATGAAGCCAATCAATACAGTGGCGTAGGCAGAAATTGTATTTTGGGTGGGCCAGTGAAAATGTGAGTGAGCCTATCATAGTTTTTCTTAGAAAAAAATGACTTCGATAATAATTAACCTTAGAAAATAGAAAAAATAATGGTAACGCTTCCTTTTACAGTCCAGTTACCCATGTAAATACTATGTACTTACTTATTTTAGTAACTACAATTACTGGGTAATAACTTGTACTAACCCTGAACCTACCCCTAAACCTACCCCTGTTCCATGTACTTACCTTATAATAGCCAGTAGCCACTACTTTCTAGGTAAGTACACTGCAAGTACTGTACTGTAAAAGGAAGCGTTACCAAAATAATAAACAAACTGCAAAAACGGTTACACCTTTTACTCTGCAAATCATCATGTTCAACCAACAGAGCTCTATAAAGGCTGGACAAACCAGTAGAACATAACCTGTCTATTATAACCGGTCTGACAGTTCACCCGAAAGTAAAGTAAGCTAAAATAATAATATCGCAGTTAGATCGGCGGGTAAACCCGCATCAGGCTAACACATTAAATAAAGTTGTTTAGCCATTATTATGGTGCAGACGCTGCTGAAAGTTTTCCTGTCGGAACCCCCAGCAACCATAGCAACCAATAATGTTCCGGAGGGAGGCTTTCTACAACAGTTCCATTTTATTCAGCGGAAACAAACACACATGGCAGTCAACAATAAATCAGATATATATTAATATATTTTCTTAAATACATTTGAATAATAAAAATAAACTAAAATTTTAGTTATTTTTTTTAATTATCTGTGCAAAAAAAGAGCACAACAAAGGTTTGCTTGGATGCGCCCATCTTAGTTTTCCATCCAAGTAGTCTATTTTAACTAGGGTGTGACATCATTCCCAGCTATGACATTACAGCATAATTATTAGCTTATTGCTGGTATCTGCTACAATACTAATATAGATGCATCCTTACTCTCCTGGATATTACACCACTTCCTCCAAGTTTATACTGTCGGTATGTCTCAATCAGGGCCTGTATTTATTCAATGATAGGCCTACTATGGTGGTGTCTCACCCTTGGGAGGGAGTTACTGTAACTGATTGCTGAGATCATTTTTGTCACTCATGGCACAAATCACTCTACCAACCTTGCATCCCATGGACTCTCAGGGTTTGCAGTCCCCAATGACTCTGTTCTTGCAATGGTTTCCTACTAACTGACGCTAGGGTACAAGAGTCCGTTTCGACATTGGAGTCGACAGACCCTAATTATCGCACACCTGTGTTTGTTGATTGTACGCTGGTTCCCAGCGGCCCTCGCAGAGTGGGAGTATTGTGGTTCCAGGCAGAGGAAGATTTATCTTGGCCTTGACTCCCATGTGAAGAACAGGGGCTGGCTGACTCTCCACATGCCCAGATCAGAGCTCCCTTACTGGGCCTGAGACCAGGTAAACCCTCTTCCCTCGGATCTACAAGCTCCCCAGTGTGTGGATGGTCTTGGAAAGAAACATAATCACCATTCACTTGCTGTGCCATGAAGGAAGAAGAGCACTCAGCAAGATGGCAGCCTGTAACGACCCCAGAGGGAGCAGTGTTTCGATACTGAAGGAGTGTTTACAGTAGTGTTTGCATGAAAGAACTGCGTCTAGGGTGGAAGTGTAAAACTACGTTTCTGCAGGGCTGGTTTTTGAGTGTACAGAGTGTCTTTTTAATCAGTGCTGAGGTCAAAAAAACTGTTTGTACAAAAATATTCAATCCCATTCAACACAGTCTTATCAGGGTTTATTCCTTTTTCATTTGAATATTGGTGGACAGATATAATACCATAAACCAATAATTATTTTCATGTTAGTCCAAAATTAAAATTCTATTAACATTTTTTTTTTGTCTAACACAAAATTCTGTCAAAATAAATTATCAAATACTAAAATCAGTCAATTTAAACACAAGCGAGTTATAATATACAGTATGAAAAATGGTTGGAAAACATAGTTGTACTATCCAAAGGAACACAAAATATAGAACGATAACAACTTTCCAACATCAAAAAAAAATCTAATAATAAATTTACAGAAGAAAACGAGTTAAATTATACAGTTAATCTGTATCTGTTATTGATTAAAAAATCTTACATCAGTAATTTTTTCAATTTTTTTTTCACGTTAAGGAGATAATTATTAGTGTTTTAAATATTAACTTTCTGAGTGTTAAATGACGGCAAAAGGTCATCTAAAAAAATAGGGAAAATGAGCATGCACACAATAAATATACAATATCGGCCGACAAATGTCAAAATTTTAAAATATCGACTTAATAAAAAATATCTTTTGGAATATGCTTTGCCACCATATGTTTGCCTATGCAGGTGTAAGATGATGTATTGCATAATTCACTCATTGAACACTATCCAAATCTCAGTCTAGTACTGAACCTACATTAAGTGTTCACAACTATCATTTCTAAATTAATGATCCTGCTCCAAGTGTCTTATATCGCAGGAGTATCACGCGGCTCTGCTGAAATATTGTCCATTCCATAATCTCCAAATACCGGTGTGAGCATCAATGAACAAAGGCCAGATTTGTGCAAATGCCACCTCCTTTTCACACAGTTACAGCATCAATCACATTACTTCCAGCAGAAAAAAAGAGCAAGAGGTTAAATAAACAGGAGCTGGGGAATGGCCTAGATGGGGGCGTATTACTTCACATTCTTTATGTGGCCCAAACCTTTGCAGTTACCAGGGAATTATGTTTATCCCTGCTATAATATGCGTTCTCAGGAAGGGGGAAGGCTTTCAAATGGACTAAATGGACTATGCTGTGGATTTGTGTGAACTGAAATTGGGTTTCTGGCCAGACAAACACATTGCCCCCATGTCGTTTTTGTATGAATTATACATACAGAGCAAAGCCTGAAAGAGAGTCTTGCCACCAGGGGGGTTTCACAGAAAAGGAGAAGTGAAAGAGTGTGCGGTTTTCTCATGTTTGTTTTTATCAAGCTGTGAAAGTACACTGGAACATCTGCAAATTACTGGCGCATGTAGCACCAGCCTAGCTGTTTCCAATAACACCTAAGAGGCCAACCATGCATGTGACAGGATAAAAAATAAAATAAAAATCTAGATTAACTAGACAACTCTACTAATTGAGTTTTTGAAATACTAGAACTGAAAAAAAAAATCGATTTTTTTTTGGTTATTTACCCAGTTTAAAAAAAAGTATAAACAATAATACATTTTCATAGGAAAAATATATTTCATAGGATGTTTCTTTAAAAAAAATGTTATATATTAGTCAAACATTACATTATATATTGATAAGAAGAGCATGATTGAAAATGCACATGTAAATGGTCCTGCTCTACTCGCTCCAAGTGGGATTCGAACCATTGTCGAACCATTCGAACCATTGTGTGTTAGTCTGTTTCACTCACTCCCCTAAACCTCACTCTCATCTGGGTCACATCAACAAAAGTAGCCGGTCCTACTCGACCCGCTCGGAGTGAGATTTGAACTGGTGTGGGAGGTGGGCACGCTAACAAGATTCTAAAGATCGCAACCCAAATTCTAAAGGTACGCACAGCTCTTACTGGCCTAAGTCCGTTACACTCACTCACCTAAACCTCACTCTCATCTGAGTCAGGGCACAAAATGTAACCAGTCCTAATCGACCCGCTCGGAGCGGGATTCGAACCCTGGTCTCTGGCGTGAGAGGCGGGCACGCTAACAAGGACTATAAAGACTGCAGCAGCTAGCATCAGTCGTTAACACTCCTCTTTAGACCAGGGGAGTGAGGTTTACACACAAAGCTCTTACTGGCATACATAGTCCAGTCCAAGTGACATCAAGTGTATCTACTCTGTTAATTTGTCTTTTTTCAATGTTTTCTGTATTTCAGACAGTTTTATTGATATAATTGAGCTATATGCCTCATACTTCCTGTCTCTCTCTTGTCTCTCTTTTGTCAGCTGGTACAATCTAGACTCACGGCCAGGTAAGAAGAGGAAAGACAGAGGCAAGATTCAAGTTAGCATCCAGTTCATGCGGAACAACATGACCGCCAGCATGTTCGATTTGTCGATGCGAGACAAACCCAGATCGCCGTTCTCCAAGCTCAAAGAAAAGATGAAGGGTCGCAAGCACGACGGTGCCTTTTCAGACACATCTTCTGCCATCCTTCCGCGCTCAGGACGGAGCGAGAGTGATTCTCTGCCAGACCAGCACCCACACCCTCAGGCTGCACCTGAACCTAAGCCAAAACGCTCGCTGCTCACTGGGACGCAGAAACTTTCTGCTGCTCACTCCATGTCTGATCTGATAGGAACTCACTTCAGGCCTAAACTCGACTCTATGAACTCAATTGAGGAGAAAGGTGAGGACATAAAGTACATGGTCTGCTCAAGTAGTTTACTATGCTCAGTATTGCATTTTTATTCTTTTATATTTTCTTTTTTCATGTGTTTAATTATTGTGTCATATTAGCAGCAAAAGGTATTGTTTACTATGGAGTGATGCATTTTTGTTGGCCAACCTGAAATTAAGCATCACCCTGGTTCCCTCGACAAAAACACAATAGGATTTTTCCATTGGCTTTTAGATTATTGTGGAAAATAAGCTGTGACCAACAAAAGTTTATGATTCTTAAACGTATTTTTCACCTTCACAAATGAACAACCAGCGTAAACAACCATAAGTAAAAAGCTAAACTTAGTCCTTAAATAAATTTCAATATAGCCTTTATCATCACCATCACTAAGCTTCTGACAACTCTTTCTGTCTTTATTTTAAAAAACATACGTTTACACTGAAAATTTGAGTTAGAAATTAGAATAGCTTGCAAGAGCAGGATTATAAACACAATAAGGCTTTAAAAGCGGACTAGTAAGTAGATGAGATTACCTGTTCAGTGTGATGTTTAATGCCCTCGACAACTTCTGTATTCCCATTTAGCTATCACAAGGGGTATTACTTGTGTATTTTACGTCGTAGAACAAAAAGTGAACTTGAGCTTGTTCACCACAGGCCTAATATCATGCATTTAACCAAAGTGCTAAAATACTAAATTGTCAACTAAACAAATATGTAATCCCTGCTGCACTCTATAGAGAAATGCTAAAGAAAACATTGTCTTTCTCATCCGTAGGGGGCACTGCATCTCACCGACACTCTCAGAGCGATGGATATGGTGTCCCAAACAGCGACGTGCCATGTGACCCCTTTTCCGACATCGGAGACAACATGCCCCAGAAGTTCGCCACTCTCCCTCGAAACCACAATCCCTTCGAGGGAGATCAGGGGATGATGTGGGGGGCAGAGAAGAGAGAGAAAAAGGAGAAGCTCGGTCTTCTGGGCAGAGTGACTGGGAAGAAGGAAGGAAAGAAAGCAGCCGCTGGAGCACGGACCGGAAGCTCTGGAGACCTGCGATCTCCAAACCCCTTTACCAATGAAACCAACCCTTTCATATCACACTACAGATCCAGGTACAGTTTGTTTTTAGCCATTCTTAAATTTGTTTATCAAGCTTTCATTATAGTTACTTGCCATTAGTATCTTGTTTTACACCTTACTGTTCAATGAGGAAAAATTGAATCAATAATTCAAATTAACAATCAAATAGATATTTAAGTATTATACATAGTACTATAATGTAATATAGATCATATTAAAATTATTGCTGAGTACTAGTAGTACGTCTGCCAATGTCATTACCAACTTCTGCTCTTTTCTCAGTAGAGTTAGGTGAGGACAGTCAAGCACTTAATGTTTATCAGAGAAAGTCTGTCATTAGGAAGACCTTATCGATGTCATTAGGCCCAATCCAGGCTACAGGGGCCTGACCAAGTCACAGTAATGAGATCTGAATGAGAGATAGACCATTCAATTAACAATTTATCTGCCCGTAGCCTACCAGGCCGCTCATCCTCTCAGATTACTCTCTCATCTTAAATCAAAGGTCTTCCAGGGGTCACGGGGTAGCTGAAAAGACATTTAACAAACATTCTTAATGTTGTCTAGTGTACAAAGATACCTGATCTTTCCATCCTTATACATTAGCTGACTTTTTACAACCAGTATCCTTAATGTATCCCATCCATTCACAAGTTTTTATCATTAAAGGATCGGACCATTACTCATAACGGTACGCCCACGTAAGCTTAAAGTCAGTTTATTTTCCTGCAAGTTGCAATGGTGTTTGACTTTTGTGGTATGGGTGGAAAAAATGTCAACTGGTTAAATTTCCTAGTTTCCCGTTATGATTATTTTATGATGCAACCTTTAGTATAATCTGCAAAATATCGACAGGCAAGCATTTTCAGTGTAGAGATAACAGTGTAATGGATTTTTATACATTCCAGGATTATATAAAATTTAACTGAAGTGTGGTTAAAAATGTGAAGCTGTTTTTGCTTCGATGTTAGACTTATTCATCTACTACAGTATGTGTAGTTTTATTAGAATACAATCAAACATAATAATGTTATTATAATATATAATACTAATCCTATATACCGGTAGTAATATATCATTTTTTAACAATTTTATAAATCTATTTGTAACTAGATTGTCTTATAAAGATTAGTACATCACATACAATATACACACTATTGTGTAAAGGAAAGGAGATTTGGGGAAAGAAATGAAAAGTCACACAAGGTTTTTTTTTACCAAAAAAAAAAAAGATCTTTCTTGAGTGCACCTATTAAAGGTTCCTAATTTTGTTTCGGATGTCTCCTGCAATAGGTTTACATGTATCCAAAGTCAAAAACATGTTGATTTTCTCATAATATAGATTGTAGAATCACCTCTTTTCTCACAGGATCTGAAACGGCTTGATCAAGGATCCGGTCTCTTTACTCTCCTCCTTTCCTAGAGGATACTCTGCTCTGATTGGTCAGATGGCCCAACCTGTTGTGATTGGTCTAGCTTACAATATGTGTCTGAAACAAAACGTCCATAACCATATCTGATTGTCGAAGATCTCAAAAATGAAGTATATTACAGCATAGCAGTGGCAAGATAAACAGAGCACCATCATCAAAATGAACCCAGAACATCCAAATCTCAAACTTTTTATCCTGTTACAGTTTACCACTTAATTTTAATATAAATTAAGTTGTTCTTGTTGTACCAGCTGTGGTCTGTATGTTAATGAAGTTGAGACACCCCGCTGTCTGAGAAGGTTCTCTGTGTCCCACACCCATTCCCATTCTACAATTGATGATGCCCATTGGCTAATGATGTGATCAACCCAAATGGTGAACTTCACTTCCTTCATCTCTATGATAATCAAGCCATTTTGGGGATGATCTTATTCTAAAATATACTGAGTGGAATCTGGATCGCAATACACAGTGATTACTGTCGGTTTTCATTCTTGAAATTAAGAAACCAAATGGGGTTTCCACAAAAAATTTTTTTTTAGCTATAATAATAATAAGAAGAAAAGTTTATTGAGCACCAAATCAGCATAATTAGAATGATTTCTCAAGGATCATTTGACACCGAAGAATGGGGTAATGTTGTTGAAAATTCAGCTTTGCCATCACATGAAGAAACATTTAAAACAGATTAAAATTGAAAACAGTTTATATATATATATATATATATATATATATATATTAACAGCATTAATGTTTACTGTATTTTTGATCAAGAGACTTTGTAAAACATTTTTATTGTTTTGTTATTTACCGACCCTAAGCTTTTAAATTTTTGAAATGAATGAGGAAATTAAGATGTACACCGTTACTGTGCTATATAAAATTGCTCATACTGTGGTATATGATTTTGGTCGCACCGCCCACCCCTACTGTTTGAGCCGTAACTGCCGGCAAACCCTTTGCTGTGGTTAGTGACCAATTGTTAGGAAATGAAAAGTAGACTGGCTGTTTTGCGTGTAAGGGGGTGTCAAACCATTTCCTGATCCTCTGTTTGTCACTTTACTAAAGGTCAACTCAAAAATTATATCAAACTTTTGCTGGCAAGTAGTAGTTGCGCTAGAGGATTTGATGCGTTTTGTGACAGTACTCGTTAGTGTTGAGCAAGATTTCACCAGTATTGATAGGTCAGAACATTTAATTAATGACTTGTGAGATAAAAAAGGCAGAACTCTTTTGTTTCAATTCTCACTATTAACTAGTTGCCTATGCATGCATATTACCAGGTGGTTTGGAACACAATTTACACATTTATTGGAGTAAAATTTAATCTGACATTTTTTTTTTCTTTTCTTTTTTTTAAACAGTGACAACATGAGAAAACCCACTAGTAATGAGGACCTTACTCAGAGATTCAGAAACTCTCCTGAGAAGAAGCATGGCATGAAAAATGCAAGAGAACAGGTACGTTCATTCAAAAGAAATATTGCACACTCCATTTATTTTATGCTTTACACTATTGTCAATACCAATAATGTTGAATTATGTAACCACACTAAATGTAAGAATATTATTTTCCATTTCTACGCATTGGTAAACACTGTACTTTCACTTTGTCACTGTCCAGTCTGTCTAGTGCTTTAAGTTGCCCAAAAGAGGTCCTGGACGGTACTCTATTAATAATTTGATTTTTTTCCCCCTCCTCTCCTGAGGTAACAACAACTATATTGAAGGGGTTTTATAAACAGCAGTCAACAGACAACTTTATAAAAAATAATAAAACCTTTTATTAGTTTGTGGATGTGCTTGAGCTAGAAAGAGCTACCTAACATTAATAAAATTTTTAATGGAACAGTAGAACATGTCTTGAAGATGGTTAATTTCTTTAACCCTGTCTGAAAGACAATCCGGCTTCAGTTCAACGATTTGGGAAAATAAAAGTATGGGCTATTATTTGAAGTTGTACGGTACTCAGAGTCTGAAGCCAGGAGAGCATATTAAGTGTTCATGGTATTTGTATTTTAACCGAGCAGCTATGGTTGCGTTTCACACACCGTCTCCGGACCACGTTGAGTTGACACCATAGACAACGGCAAAAGAAATGCATGTGCTTTTCACTAGTAAAACCCGAGGGTGTATGGGCAATGTAGTCTCTGTTCTCGGTGGGTCGAATTAGGAAGCGTGCGTTGTGAAGGGCGCTCTGAAAAGCAGCAGCACAGCCAAAGGATTAAAACAGATGTGCACCGTGTACCGGCCCACTTAAAGCACTGAGTCTGTCCAGACACAGCTTGAGCACATTTCTCACAAGTTTTCCAAACTTGCCCAAAGTTTTAATTGGTCATTTATTCCAGCCCTATTATACATGGAAGTTGATGATGTTGATCTCTGACTGAGTATCACTTGTGGCGCTCTGCTTGGAGGCCCATTTATCTAATTAACAGCTGAAATGGGTGGTCATCGTCTTTGATCTGCATGTAATTTGAAGTAGTGTGATGTTATTAGTGCGCTTCCATTTCGTTAGTGAACCATCTTGGACAGTATGTTCTCTCACTCAATAATTGGAAATCTAATCATTAATAATACGCAATTTGTCACTGGTCTAATTTTACACTGTAGGTCAAACCACGGTCAGTATTAAACGTGGAAAGGAGCCCTCTCTCACGTTGTCATAATTATACTGATTGTGATCGTCATCGTGTCCAGCGCAGAGTAATGTGACGTTTGCTTGTCTGCTGTGTGAGAATAGCTGCTGAAGTGATGTTGAAACTGGAGACGCATTGCTGAAAATGGCTTTCCTCACCCATTTTTGAGGTTATGTTAACACTGCATCCGTGAAATAGTGTCTCTGGCACTCTAAGGCCTTAATTAAAGGATGGGGGGTGGGGGGTGGGAGAGTCGGCCGAGGCATTTCAAAGGACTCGGAGTTTTAGATTTTCAACGCAAAGGCTCTCATTAGTGCTCATAATGAGACAACTGAAGAATGCCAAGTGGAAGTCTTATCTCTCCCACACTCCTGATTGCCTAAATCTGCTCATCAGCTGCTTGCCAGTTCATGGTCATTTCCTGGGCTCTTTTCCTGCCCCCATTTGCTTGTGCCCTGGTGGTTTTGCAATTCATGCAGCATCTCTTTCTCTAAATCTTCCTTTGATTCAGTGTTTGCTACTTTGTATGTGCTAGAAAGTGTTGTTTTGGCTTGCATTGTCTGTTGATCTGAATTACCAAACAATCAACTCAAGCACACCTAAAAATGTTTAAATTTTAAGTTCACCAAAGGTGTAGTTCATCGCATTAACTAAACATTCCACTAAATTCTTTTTGCCTTATTTTTGAGCGATAAATCTTTTTTTTCTTTTCTTTTTTACAATAGATTCATTCTGCAAATGTTTTTTTTTTTGGAAAGTTTACCTTTTTTCCCTTTAAAATAAATTCTGCTTGGTTTACTATTGTGTTATCTAATGCAATGACATTCACGTTTTGATTTACGTGTCTAAATGCTTTTTAGGGCCACTGTATTTTTGCATTAGTTTCTAGAATGGCAGTTTTATGGAGTCAAATTTGTTCTGCTGTTTCCTCAGGGAAAAAGAGAAGGAATGTTTTGTTTTCATTACCGTAATCTAAGGAGGATAATCGTAATCAAAGTGTCACATGTATAAACATCTGTCCGATATGGTGGATCAAGTTCAAACCCAGAAGCAGTTCAGATTTTAAAAGTGTTGAGGCTTCCTGCATAGTATTATTTTCTAACAAGTGGAATGTATTAGTCTTACATTTAATATTATACATTATATTAACACAGATCATTTATACAGGTTTTAATTTTTTAATTAGATTTATCACACATAGGCTACCCATTAAATAATCGAATGTGTTTAATTCACTTTTCAAAAGTTAAAGCTGCAGTATGGCGTTTTTCCTCTTTGTCGCCATCTCTGTTCGAAATCTGCAATGGGCTATATGCACGCATAAATTCCGCATTTGACGCAAGGATGCTCGTCCATTTCCGGTTGTGGAGATTAAAGTGGAGGAGAACCGAGGAAAACGGGATTATGGCAGAGTCTTCAAAATTTACTGTCCTCCCGACTTTGAAACGAAACGTACATATGTTTAGATGTAGTTTTATATATAGTTATGTTTATTTAATATAATTTTAAAAAGAAGCATAAACACAACGAGGGGTGTCTGTTTTATCTGTTTTTGTGACTAACGTTTCTTTATTATAACCATGGAGTATAAAATTCAATATAAATTCAATGTATTGCATTGGACTCTACGATCGGCGGAAGTTATCGAGCATCCTTAATCCTTCACCGGAAATACCGCCGTGTATAGAGCCCATTGCAGTCACTCAACATCAAGTTGTACTTCGACACTCTCAACACGGCACAGCGTGGATGAACACAATGTTTGAGGAGACTGTGAGGCTGTCAGTCACCACGCCGGTGTGATACTGGCATTCGCAATCACAGATTAATCTTTTTTATTATTATTTATGACCAACATAAGAATTTTCACCAGAAAATTTCATCTGAACTAGTAAGAAACATCCACTTTTGTTCTGGTTCTGACATTGCAGTTAATCACACTAATTAAATCTAAAAATCGCTTATATCACGCAAAACCGTGTAAAATATACTTTGTTCTCAAATTGTTAACAACGTCTGCATTACGTGACTACATGTAATGTCCTTCCGATATGTATCCTTGTTTTCGCATGGGTTTTTTTTCTCGCATTTTTTTTCTCGCAATTCTAACTTTTTTCTTTGCAATTGCGAGTTTATTAAGTTTATTAAAAATTTATATATCGCAGTTCTTTTCTTGGAATTCAGACTTTTTCTTGCAATTGCAAGTTATGACGTTAGAATTGCTGGATATAAACTCGCAAATCGCCTTTGGCTAAGCCACGCCCTAGAATGTAGATTGACCAATCACAGCGCAGCCAAGAACGAGCTCCCACAGAGGTCCGACACTTTTTGACAGCGCGCCATTGACTTTCAACACTGGCGTCTCATATTTTTAAAAGATACATGTTTCCCAGAGAGGTTGGAGGGGGTGTCCGTTTTTTTCCTTCCCAAAATCGAAGTCAAATCCTGACAAGTGTCGTCTTTGGATTAAACTGTGTGGACGTCCAGAGTCAGCTAAACCCCTCAAAGATCAACAAGCACATATTTTTTTACTTCTAACCTTACTGTGAAGTTATACTAGTAAGACCGTTTTATATTATTTTAGGTTATGATTTCGGGTTCTCATACCGGTTGTTGATACGCTAGCACACGCTGCTAATAAATGCAACTTTATACTCGTGTAGTCCGTTTGCTTTGTAATAACGATTGGATTATAGAAGTGAATAGAGACCTACCCAGCTTTGCACAAGCAGTGTTGCTCCCTTAAATTGTTATTCCCAGCCTACGTCTCGATTTGTATATGCGGTGGTTCATTTTTTGACTGTGACCTGTAAGTTAACGTTATGCTTTTGCCTCTATTTTGGATGACGAGTTGTTTCTTGCGTTTCACTTGTATGTCTTGAATATAGCCTTCGAACGCATATTGCGGCCCCTTTTGACTACTTCTATAGGGCACTTTATTTGCTACTTTATAAAAGTTTGATAACATTTCAGCAGGAAGAGCTGTCACAGCAAGCCATGTTGATACCAAACCAGAGCCCAGATAAAGTTTGACGGAAGTAGCAACAGTAACTAAGGTGGGCGGGGCTTAGCCAAAGGTGAATTGCGAGGAATAAAGTCAGAATCGCAAATCTGACTTTATAACATGCAACTGCAACTTTATTATATGCAATTCTTAGAAAAAAAGTCTGAATTGCAAGATAAAAAGTCAGAATCGTCAGATAAAAGGGTGCAATTACTTTCTTTTTTTTTATTCAGTGGCGGAAACTTCCATACTAACCACCATCATTAAACTAACCAAAGAAATGTTATTTAAAACGTCCCAGTTAAAACCTTATTTAATTACCTAATATAGTCATTTATTATAATAATTTGCATCAAAAAAAATATTAAGGACTTAAATTTCTTTTCCTTAAACACCCAGATAACCTTATCAGAGTAGATTTGGTACGAGTGCTTCGTTTCGGGAGCTATTTGGAGTGTTTGGTTATTAGATGAGTTTCAGGTCTGTGTCCTGTTGTGTTGATGTTGATTTTGGGTGGCAGATTTATTGTAATTATCTAAGCGTCAGTAATTAAGCAGGACTGAGAGACATTGGCTCATATTTTGGCAACAGTGAAATGGATAAGCTCTTTGAGAGATTTTATCAACTGACTGCATTTAGTGCTTGTTTTCACCTTGACAGCAAAAACGTGTGAATTTGTCAGACGCATGATAGCAGATGAGCAAATGCAAATTGCAATGGTTAAGTCCGATGCAGACACTTCTCATGTCAACACATAATCACTGTTTGAGAGAAATGAGGCTTGAACGTTTAGAGCAACACCTTTAATAAAAGCTCATTTATCAAGTGAGTTCTGTTTTGAAGGAAACATTGACATGTTTATTTCACTATTATCTTTTACCCTATTTATTTTGTCCAGCTACTACTGTATGTGGCATTATTGCCTATCCTCTTGTCCGTTTTACAAACCAATGTGAAGTGTTAAATTAACACTGTTTCATGTCGAAAGTTTAGCACAAATATCAAATTATAGGTCAAAAGATGATTGATTTACACACTTCAGAGAACACTTTGAATTCCCAGCATATGAGCAATCAAGTAATGTTTTTAATACATGATAAATTTAACAATCATATGTCATCTGTTCTTCCTCACACATAGGAGCCTGAACATCTGCGTGCGAATATGGCGACCTACAGCAATCTCTCCTTTGAGGAAGTTGTGCAAGAGCTCATCAAGCAGAAAGAGGTGGTAAGAAAGAAAGATGCTCATATTCGGGAGCTGGAGGACTACATTGATAACCTGCTGGTCAGGGTTATGGAAGAGACGCCCAGCATCCTGAGAACACCCTATGAGCCCAAGAGAAAAGCTGGGAAGATCTCGAAGAAGTAAAAGATCTCAGAAGCGCTGGCAAAATATGTATTTCTTATAAAAGGACAATGCATTGTTGAGAACTTGTGACAGAACGCAAGTTTATTCTTTCACACACGGACACATAAATGTCATTCAGTTACTCTAGGGTTGCAAGAACAACCGAATGTTGTGAAAAAAGACGGGCACTAAATGTGGAGATGCCAAATGGCCTTTTTCGTATTGCGTAAATTGTCCATAACTTTATTTAGATTTTTTTTAAGGTTCCTGTGAGCTGTTCACTAATACTTGTGAATGGAACCGTTTTTAAAAATATTCATAAGCAGCCATTTTTAGTTTAGAGCGGCGTTTTGGTGCGAGGAGACCAATGTTGTGTCTATACCGAAAATAACTGTGTTTAAGTTGACTTTTTCGTTGAATTCAGTCAGTATAACATAATTCCGCACTTAATACTCTTAGTAGTACTGTGTTTTTGTAGTTATCACTGGGATGGACTGTCCATATGAGGCCTTTTGCTGTGATTGAATTCGTTGAATTTGCTGTGACTGAATTCACACTGCAAAAGCTGTACCAGATCAATTGATGTACATGTTTGTCCTACAAGGAAACACTTAGATTGATGGTACCATGTGACATGGAAGTGAATGTTTACTGGATGTTTTAGCACCAAGGCGGATTGGTTTACTGAAAGACCAGGTTGGGTTTGACAGGGTAACTCTCCTATCGCTCTTGATGGTGTTTACACTGTAGACACTGAGTGATCAGACTCTTGATACTGGCATGTGTTTAGTGCCATAATGATACGTTAGTTGCAGAATGTTGGTAATGAGACCTTTTGGTACTTTTTCAGAGCATACGTCTATGAAATAATAGACTGGTACACTACTAATTATTTATTTTGAGCTTGAGTGTAATGAGCAAAATGTGTATGTGAATAACACTGTTCACTTTACAAGCAACTTTACTAACACAAGTCCAAGAAACAAACTGCCTCTGTGATGTGTAGTGACAACGGCAGTGTAGAAATGAGCATCCGGTCTCCAAAGACTTTATTCTGAATGTCATTCTGTTGAACTGGAATGTACTGATGCTCCATTTCTTCAGTATACTGCAGGACTGTCAAAAACACGTGGACTGCCTACAGTTGACTACACCAAAGTGTTGACGGTTTTTGATTAAACTTAAGCTAAGTCGGTCGGTCAGTCAAGCACAGAAGTGTTAACTTCTTTTAGCAACTATTGGAACTTAATTTCTAACTTCTAACCGAGCAAGTTTAGCCCATTTAAAATTGAAACCACAGCAAATAACTGATTAAAGTGGGAAGTCTGAACAAGTATTTAGTTCAAAATCCCTCTTTATACAAACTTTTAAGTCGGTTTGATTTTATTACAATCATGAACAATGTTGACACGGTTTACAGATTTACAGACTCTGACATTGTACTACATTTCCAATTCCTTTTCTTATCTTCTCATGTGGTGAGAAAATGACTTTGGCTGTAGGTCTTGGTAATTGAGCATCTTTTTCGCACCTTAGGCTGGTAAGCTGGCCTGGAGCATCTGTGTAGTGAAATACTGTACAACAGTGGTGCATGCGTGCATCAGATACTAAATAATGTACATTTGAGAAAACTAGAAAGATGAATTTAACTGTAAAATAATCGGTTCTAATGTGTTAGCCCTTCATGTGAAGACCGAAAACTGATACCGGGCAATTCTTTTGACCATAATACCCTTTTTTATGTTTATTTGATGGAAACACAATAGTGTATACTCTCTCCATATAGCTCTGCAGAAAGCTTCCCAGTTGTAGTTTTTCTTATTAACACGGCAAAACACTGTGCTGGAAAGGACACATCATCTACTATATTGGGTCAGAATGAGCAAGCGTTGTATCCAAGTTATAAATTATTGTTTTATTTACTTACACTTTAATATGTATTTGGAGAGGTTTACATGTGTGTAATTGACGATTCATGTTAAAATCATTCAGTGCCACTTGCAGTGTTACACAGTGCTGCTATTAAAACCCTGTTTTTTTTCTAGGTTTTATGCAAGAAGTTGGTCTTTAGTTAATTTTTTTTTCTGTACATGCTAAATTTTTAACCTTTTTAATATGCATAACCCGTTTATTTACAAATTTCACACAATATGTTATAATACGCTGGGCTTAATTAAATTTTTATTAATGATCTCTCAGCATTATATTTGTCACCAGCCAAAAAAATGTTCCATTGAATGTGATTCAGTTCAGGAAAGTAATTAGCTGAAGAGTAAAGTTTGTTATAATAGAGTTAACTCACCATCTCAGCTTATCCTTTTTTTTTTTTTTTTTTTTTTATTGATCTGGACTTCTATGCATTATGCGTTAATTTTTTTCTCGAGCTTTCGATCAAATAAGGTACAAAACTATTTTTGATTTGCTGTAGATCTTATTGTTGGGCAGTTAAGGTGTTTTGCTTCCCATGAACAGTATGCATTGCTGTATTTTTCACATATTCAGCCGAGCACTTTCCTTCTCCTCTCCGTTTTGTCTCATTGAACTGGAACTGCTATGCATCTCTCTCCAGAGCAAATCTGTGTGGTACTCTGAATGTATTTTGACCAATCAGCAATGTCTGTAATCACACAAACAGTGTTGATCACCCTGTGTAGATATTATCTAGCACTTCTTTTATCACTTTTTACAGTATATACAGCTGTAATGACAATTATACATTGTTTGCCTTCACTCATATTTACAGAATAATGGTCGACACATTGTACGTGGTTTCACTGTGGTTGATTATCAAGAAGACATATTTGTTTTTTTTTTTTTAGAATAAGTACTTTTTCTGATAAATTCATGGATTTAATTGTCCAAATGTTAAGACTACCTTTTTGTTATTACAAAATGAGTTTTTTTTTTCTTTCTTCTGATTCTCTCATGGCTGTTGATCTTTGGTTTTAAACTTTTCATTGTTGTTTATTTAGCCGTTTATAGTTACTTAAAGCTTAATGTTTTTAGGTTATCATGTTTTTGTATGCTGCTATTTTTCTGTATTATCCTAACAGATAGTTTAGGTGAATTTAGCTTTGTTGAGACAAAAAAAAAGATTATATTTGTGATTTTAGCAAAGGATAGTAGCAAGACAAACATGAAATTAAAACATATGAAAGCCACAGTATCTTCAAATAGAAAATAATATTTGAATATCAATTTTTTTTTCCACTTGGTGTCTTGTATACATTAATCTCTGGTGCTGCAATCATATCTAATAAGTTACCAGTTTTTCAGTATTCTGCATCATATATGTTTCAATTGATGTAAACTACTTTCTACTCAGACACTCCTTCCTTTAAAATACTTATTTTCCTTCAAAAACTTGAATTTACAATAGTGTGTAATTAACACTACTTAGAATATAGAATTTGACCCTAGGAATTTGCTTCTGATCATAAGCAAGTTCGAGACACTTTCCTGTTGGGTGGTTAAACATTTGCATAGTGTAGTTATTGATGATTCATCCAGAAGTAACATGTCTGTCTTTGCATTCTTGGCATGCGGCATGAATGAGTGTAGAAGAGAGAGCTGAGTGTATTGTCTATGTGTACCTACCGTACAAAAGGGGAAAAATGACGGTACAGCCCATTTCAATAAATCTCCTGTACTTCATGACGTGTCTTTTATTGCTTTGATATACGTGTAAAAGCTTCACGCTCCATGCTAGGTAAACTCAAATATTATTTGACAACAATTGCTCTTCACCACGCCAGCATTTAGTGTGTATCTGTATTTCAATATACCGCGAGCCACTGGTGTCCACATCAACATATCCGTTACATGAAAATTCATTAGGCTTTGCAATTATCTCTCGAAGCGGAGGGATTTTAGCTTTCTATTTGCATTACACTGCGTACCTCACGGATGTTGTTTCTTTCAGGGAAATTAATGGGAAGGAAATTCTCATGCCCGCCCAAACAAATAAAATAGCCTCTTTAGTGACAAGGTAGCTTGTTAAACTTCTCACCTCATTTGTTTATGAGTAACAGGAGTGTGTGTATGTGAACGGCTGCATGTACGAGTGCCACTCAAGCTGTTTACCATCTCCTCCTCCTGAGGAGCAGTATCATTGCTCTTCATTCACAAGACCGGGCGCTTTACAATCAGCCCAGGGTCCTCCACGTCTCCGATTTGGATGAAAATGGAGCTTTTTCAGACGCAATGAGATGTAGATGAACAGAATTCCCCATTGAAACAGAACACTTCTCAAAGCAAGGATTTCCAGTAGTTCATTCAATAAGAAACAATGTGCTGTGCCTGACAGATGCTTAAAAGTATTCAAAGAGCTTTTTCGGTCACTAGCGGTGTAGATTTATTTTTAAGGTTTCACTCAAAAAATTGATGATTTTTGCTGCTTTTTGAAATTGCTTAATTAAAATGAGCTTAAGCAAATCAATTGCTATACATTTTGTCCAAACTTAATTTGATTGTGTTCAATCTACTTAAATATGTAAAATTTAAGATTGCTTAATCCGTTTGTGTTGGATTACATGAATGATATGTGTTGCATTAACTGAAACTGGGCTGTGCTTGTTAGTTCCCAGTATGCTTTGCATATGGCTGAATTAAGAGAGAATAAATGCCTAAATTAAGTGTTTTTTTATGTGTTTTTGAGAAAATGAGAAAAGGGGAAGACTTTATAGTGCGTAATTGTGTTTAATGTTCAATTACATTGCAATTATTAGTACCATTTAAATTACAGTGGGTTACCATTGTGGAGAAGAGTGGAGCATTTGGTTAGGCTGAAAACCGATTCAGCAATATTTTCAGTAAGTGTTTTGGTTGATGAAGCATGTGAAAGTTATACTTTAAGATTCTAATATGTGCTATTTGTAGCTAATACTTGGTTATAGTCTAGAAATGTATTAGTGTGACACTAAAATAAATTTTATTGTATTAGATGTATGAATATTATGAATTTGAATACCTGAACCATATCAGGGATCCTTTTAAATTCACTGACAATATGAAGCTGCGCCCAACCATTGTAAATAAGTTGAATCAACCTTAATACATTAAGTTGGAATAACAGAATTGGATAATGCTGAAATAAAGCAAGTTAATCATGTGGAAAACCTTTCCATACTTTTTTTTTATGTTCATTCAAAGAGTTATTTTTTTGAGTGCAGGCGAATAGGAAACCATTAAAATATAGTCCATAAGTCTGGATGAAAAAATAAAACTGTGTATGCATGCATTCTTTCATTTAAGTTTATTTGTTAAATATAATGACCTTGCTGAGTATTTAAACTGGTTAAAAGTCAAAATTATAGCATCAATTATAACATAAATCTGTAAATGTGTGAATTTTCACAGTTTGCAACGTCTTGCTTTACATGTGAGATATATTTCCATGCTTGCTCAATGACTCCACAATCTATATATCATTTTTCTCACACATTTCTATGGTAAACAATGGAAAACAATGATGTACATGTTTAAAAGTGAATTAAGTGTCCAAATACTTCCTGAGGTCATTGTAAATGTTCCACTGTGTACCACTAAAGTTAATGGTTATGCAGCATTAGACACAGATGGTGGAAGGTGTAATGTTTAATGAGGTGCACTGTGGATCATTTTAGGCTGGTAATACATTAATTACCCTTTTTGAAGGACATCTAAAAGCCAGTAGTTACATTCATTACAGCATAATGTTTTTCCCCTCTGAATCAGAAATGTGATCTTCTTTTGGTCAAGTCAAGTGTTTGTAATCTGAAATCTTTTTTGCTAACTTTTCATGAATTAGCAATGACTAACGCTGTATATGTTTACATCTCATTTTCATCTGCTCTAATAGGAACAATAACTTCAACACATTCATTGCGAGATACTGTTTCGTTTTATGTAGTGTCCAGTGGACGTGGCACGCGTCACATCCCATTTGGCCTGAAGCCCATAAGGACAGGGTTTTATATGATACATGATAGCACCTGCTTGTGATCATAAATTACAAGACGGACAGCCGTGGTTCGAGCTCACCTGGCGGCGCGTGTGTTTACAGGAACACGCGTGCAGGTGGAGGCCACCCACAGTTCATCTGTGCTGGTGTTAAAAATGGATGGGCGTCATGGCGCAGGATCGGTGACACACGGCACACGTCCATTCAGAGAGAAACACCGGCAGCAATTGCTGCGACAGGATGTTCGACAAGTGAAACTCAACACATGGATGAGCTGTTCGGAAATGACAGGCCGTCGGCCCCTCCTTATGGCTCAAGCTCTGTCTAAACCTGACCTAACATAAGCCAGATGTCAATGTTAGCTTCCACTGGGGCTTCCATCCTGCTCTATAGCTTTAGGAGAGAACAGTAAGTTAATCTGGCAAAGCACTTGGTTTATAGGGGAAACCTGCACGCGGCAAGGTGTCAAATGAGCCTCTCAGCGCTAGGATGGGCCCCATCAGGCCCTATTGTGTTTTCCATTGTGTGCTTGATTGGTGCCACGTGTCCTGGATCAGGTGAACAAAGGCCAGATGACACTCTGAGGTGCAGGACGAGGGGAAATCAGACTACAAGACAATTAAAAGACAAGGAGGTGCAAGGACCTGAACCAAAGCTAAGAGAAAGCAAAGAGAAATTCAAAGCTGATAAAGTTTACAAAAGAGATCAGGGCCAGTGGAAGACTTTTTCAAACATTTTTAGAGAACTGCAATAAGGAATGACTTCATTTATCAAGAGATTTTTAGAACTTTTATTAAAATATTGGAATATAATCAAAGGGATAGTTCACTTTGAAATTAATTTTTGATATGTTTTAGCTTACCTCAAGGGCATCCAAGATGTAGGTGTCTTTGTTTCCGCAGCATTTTCAATTTTGACATTTTTTGGTCAAACCGTTGTTGTCTGTCAGTCATATAATGCAGGTCTATGGAGCCCACCTCAAAGAGCATCCACAGAGAAGTCAAAATTAAACACGATTTAATGACTTGTAAATGTAAGTACACATTGATGGCCTAAGACACGAAACGAGCGGTTTGTGTGAGAAAACGAACAGTATTTATATAGTTTTTACCTCTTATTAACAGCCGTCGAACTGATCTGAATCAAGGGCCCGTTTCAATAAGGAGGTTCAACCAACTCTGAGTTAAAGCTTGAACTCTGAGTTGACTTACCCTGAGATGGGAAACTCTGAGTTTTCGGTTTCAGAACAGCTGAAATCAGTTATTTCAATCAACTCTGAGTTGACTGACTCTGAGTTAAGCATATAAAAAGCCATTATCAATGGAGCGCAGATATTATGAGTCACCATGGCAACAGCGCCAGACAAAAAGAGGTGTTGGGTGTGGTTAATTACCAAGTAATCTAAATATTGTAATTTGATTAAAGGGATCACTCTTAATTCTTCTGTATTTTAAAATAAAATATGATGCAATTACATTAAATAGGCTACTGCATAAACTACAGACCAATTCAGTATAAAACAATAGTGGATTTAACATACATTTTTAAAAGGTATATTTTTTATGTAACCTTCTCCCTCTACACACTTTGATCAATTCAAGAATAATTCATGCAATTGTATATTGTTAATTTGAAAGAATTAAAAGTGCAGTTTCTTGTTTCTCCTCCTTGTATTGTTCAAGTGGTTGAGGTTGATACAGGATTTAGCAATTAGTAATATGTAGACCAATACTTTCTAGAGATAGTAGCCTAATTATTACATTAATCTAACTACACCGTTGAAGATGTCATTTGTAGTTAATAATTCATAAATATTTTAGAGTAACTCACAGTTATAATATAGAGGTGAAACTGGAAGAATGTTATTCAACATAAAGTAGGCTATTACTTTGAAAAATTTTTACTTAAGTAAAAGTAAAAATACCAGTCTAAAAATCTACTCAAGTAAAAAGTAGTTAATTTAAAACATGGGTAAAAGTTTCTGAGTAACTTGTTTAACCGCGGGGGTGGGGTGAGGGACTCCCCCATGTAGGGTTGTAACTTATGAGAGTTTCACAATATGATAACCGTCTCAGAAAATATCACGGTTTATGGTATTAAACAATTATTAAATATATAAACTGCATTCTTAAATTACGGTTATTATCATCAGTTAAAATGACAGTTAAATAAATGATACATTTGTTCAATAAAACATATCTAATCAACTAACTTCAATAATTGATTATGAATAAGATTAACATCTTATTGTTTAACATTAATAACTTATCGAATTATGTTTGAAAAATAACTGAGTTCTATTAATTTTTTTTTATTCCATTTTTTTAATGATTTAATAGAAATATATTATCAAAAACGGTGGTTATCAAATAAAAGTTTAGCAAACGTTTTAAATAATTTTATTTTTTGGCAAAGTGCTGCAAAAGAGATTTAGTCAATTAAACCATGGACAAACAATATAATGTGTAAATACATTTTAGTATTATTGATGGTGTTTAAACAGCACTTCCTCTTTGAAAAAGGGGAGGAAACTGCAAGAAACTCTGGGTTTACTGAAGAAAACCTTCTCTCCACCAGGTTAGGTTCACAGAGTAAGTTACCATGGTAACTGACTAGTTACCTCTCTTTCAGAAACGGGCTTACTCTGCTTTCTCAGGTTTAACTTACCTCCCTTTCTGAAACGGAAAACCCCGAGTTTCCCTCATTTCAGGGT